TCGTCTCCAACCTGGTTGAGCTGCCTGCATTAATTACGTTATTTTAGTAGCTCAGGCAGGCCTTGAAGTCACTATGTAGCCCAAACTGACTCGAAATTTGCAGCAGTCCTATCTCGGCCTCCCGAGAGCTGAGAGTACAGACATAGGCCACCACGCCCGGCTCACTATCAGTTATTTTCTTCTTGCTTTGGCTCACTCTTCTGTCTAGTTTTCGTCATTAAAAGTTGTGGGATGACCTCTGAAAGTAGTTAGTGATTTAGGAGCTGGCGTTTGTTGAATGTCATCCTTGATAGCTGATGCTATACCTGTGACAGGCTTTGAGGTTAAGTACTGCCCTAGCCAGCTGATGTACTCTGTTGGATTTGTATGGAGTTCATATATTGCAAAATTTTGTCTTAAGTTTATTTAATTTTTAATTTTAGTACAGGGTCTCACTGCGTAGATCGGACTCCTAGTGATTCTCCTGTTTTCAGCCTCCCAAGCGCTGGGATTACAGGTGCGCACCCCCTAGGTGCAGTCTCAATTGCCGGCTCAGTGCGCCCAGTGGTGGGCGGCCCGGCGCTCTGGGGATCGGAGCCCTGGCCACTGCACTCTGCCTCAGCAGCCGCTTTAGTTTGCTGAACTATCTGGCTGGCCCGTTATCATCAGTTTAAAAACTGGAGCCTGGCATGGTGGCACATCCCTGTAATCCCAGCACTTGGAAGGCTGAGGCAGGAGGATTGCTGTGAGTCCGGGGGCCAGCCTGCACTACACAGCAAGATTCTGTCTAAAAAGTGACTAGATAAATAAAATAATAGATGCTGGATTTCACAAAGAAGTTGAATTTTTTTTTTTTTTTTTTTTTTTTTAAAAACAGGGATTGAACTCAGGACCTTGAGCTTGCCAGGCAAGCACATATTCCACTGAGCTATCCCCGGTCCGGAAGAAAAAAAAAAAAAAAAAGAAAAAGAAACATAGCCAACCGTTGGCAATTAAGGACCTTCAGGCCCGGTTAGATGGCTCAGTGGTATAAGCGCTCCTCTGGCAGGCACAATAGCCTGAGTTCAATCCCTGGTTCCGCAAAAAACAAAACAAAACAAAAAAATACTTTGGAGCTGGGGAGATAGCTCAGTGGAATAAGTGCTTGTCTGGCAAACACAAGGGCCTGAGTTCAATCCTTGGTTTAGCCAAAAACAACAACAACAACAAAAACCAAACAAACAAAACCCCACCTGACTTCTTTGGGCTGGACAGATGGCTCAGTGGAATAAGCACTTCCCTGGCAAGTACAAGGGCCTGAGTTCACATCCCTGGTTCTGCAGGAAAAAAAAAAGGGGGCTAAAAAAAAAACCTTCAAAGACCCCCTCTAAACAACAACAAAAATGTATGGTTTTTAGAAGCTCCGGAAGTCCCTTTGCCTTACCAGCCTATGCCCAAGCCACTGATCACCTCTGGTACTGCCTGGCTACTTGGAGACATTACCTTTTTTTTAGGTCAGTGTTTACTCTTGGCTCACTTTCCCCTGGTGCCTTTCTGAGCTCTTTCAGGGACTATAGTTTCCGTGCAGCAACTGTATAACCCCTTATCCAGACCTGCTTTGATCCTAAAGCTAGGCGCAGAAGGAATTGCTCTCATTCCTAAGGTTAGGTGCTCAATAAATATTCACAGAACAGGAGCTGGGGATATAGTTCAGAGGTAGACTTCTTACCTTCTAACTCCAGGCCCTGTTTGGTCCTTAACATCATGTTTGCACGTACACACACACACACACACACACACACACACACCTGTCTGAACAACTAAATAAATGTTCAGACTTTATTTGGTTATCTGATGGGTGCTCCCATCTGCCAGTTCCTCTAAAGTGGCCCCTTTTGCTGGTAATGAACATTTGCCTTGAAGTTAGGACACACTCACTGTTCCTGGAGCTTGGTGCCTCCTGGGGCTGGTGGGGGGCATGGTCCTCTCCAGGAGTGAGGTCTCTTGCTCTGGGCACTCAGTTCTGCTGCTTGTTGACTGATTGGATGTAATGGTGTCATCTTTTCCAGGACCTCTCTTTGTTTTGATTTATAGTTCTAACTTGAAAACAGTGTTGACTTTTGTTACAACTTCGTACATTGTTCTCCATCTTGAGGATCAAAACCCTGGGGAGGGGGACCCTGGGAAATACTAACTAGAGAAAACTCTAGGGGTTAGCTAGGTATGGTGACACATCCCTACAATCTTAGCATTCAGGATGCTGAGGCAGGAGGGTTATTACAAGTTTGAGACCAGTCTGTACTACATATTGAGACCCTGTCTCAAAAAGTTGGGTTTTTTTTTCAGTAAAATAGGGCCAAATCACAAGGCTTACAAACCATTATTTAAGAGAACAGTTGGAAGCTCAGATACTCCAGGACTAAGTACGAACTGTGATCACCTGAAAAGCAGACTGTGAATGTAAAAATACAGGCCCCACCTGGGTGTGATGACACATGCCTGTAATCCCAGCACTCAGGAGGCTGAGGCAGGAGGATCATTTCGAGTTCACCCAGCCTGGGCTACAAAGTGAGCTTAAGGCCAGCCTAACATCCACAGCAAGACCCTTTCTCAAAAAGACTATATATCTATATCTAATCTATATATGTATATGTATATGTGTATATATGTGTATATATGTGTGTATATATATATATATATATCGCCAAATATTATGATTTTTTTTTCTCTTAGGTACTAAAGATTGTACCCAGGACCTTTACAATGAGCTACCTCCATGGTTTTTGAGACAGTGTCTCATTAAGTCACTAAATTTCTGGGTGTGAATTAGAGATCCTTCTGCCTCAGCCTCCCAGAACACTGATATTACAGATGTGTGCCACTACATCTGGAATATTTTGAGGGTTGGTTTTTTTTTTTTTTTTGTATTTTTGGGAAGGGTCTACAGGGTGTTCAGGGTCTCACTGCTAGATTGAAATTGTAGTGATTCGCCTGTTTACAGCCTCCCAAGAACTGGGATTATAAGCTCATGCCACCATGCCCAGTCTCAATTGCTGTCTCAGCATGCCCCTGGGGCGGGGCCAGCCTGCAGATCGAACCCCTGGTCCCTGTGCCTGCTTGCAGGCACTTTATCCCACTGAGCTATTTGGCCAGTCACATCTGGAACATTTTGATATTTTTAAAAAATAATTTTATGAGAACTCTGATGATTTTTTTTTGGTATTGTAGTACAGGGTCTACAGGGAATCACTATGCAGATTGGACTGGTAGTGATACTACTGTTTTCAGCCTCCTAAGAGCTGGGATTAGAGGCGTGCACCACCTCGGTCGCTGCACCTGCCTGTGTAGTCACTTTAGTCCAATGAGCTATCTGGCCGACCCTTGAACTCTGATAATTTTTAAATGTCAGAAATTAAGTTTCTTTTTTAAAAGTAAATCTTGTGAGCTATTACAGAGAAAGTAATGCCCAGCTTGTGGAGTTAAGCAGTGGATCTTGGAGGACTTGAGAATCACAAAGGCAGCAGACATAGCATCTACTAGTGGAAACTTCCTGAAAGTAAACTCTGGGGCTGGAACCACCCTCAACCTTTTCCTGACATCTGTGTCCTGCACAGAAGAAATTGTTCCTCACTCATGAAAGTCAAGTGCAATCCTTGTCCTTCTCACTTCGGGCCTTAGTTCCCAGAGTCTAGAGGGAAGCTATGCCTGGGAGCTGATTTTTGAGGCTTTCAGGGATGTCTGAAGATCTGGGGCCTCATGAACATCTGGGTCAGGCCTCTTTCTCCTCCATGCCCAAGCTGGAGTAGCTCTGGAAAAATGAGATTATCCCACATCCCTCTGAGCTGTGGGCATCAGGGGGCCAGAGGAAGTTCTCAGCCTGCACCCTAAATTTACCAGTAGAGTAAACTGTCTTTTTTTTTTTTTTTCTTAAGTGGAACTGGAAATCAAACCCAGGACTTTCTCATTGAGCTACATCCTCAGCCCCTTTAAAAAATATTGAGCCAAGGTCTCATTTTTTGTTTTAATTATTTATTTGTGTGTGTGTCCAGCTCAGCCCACCAGGGGGCAGGGCTGGCTGGCATGTGGTACATGGTGGGACTGAACCACAATTCCTGTGCTTAGCTAAGCTATTTCTAAGTAGGTACTTTAGACCACTGAGCCATCTCACCAGCCCTGAGCCAAAGTCTTGCAAAGCTATTAAGTTGCCCTGGCTGAGCTAGAACCTATTATCCTCCTGCCTCAGTTTCCTAGAGTGTTGGGATTATAGGTGTGCACCACTACACCCAGGTACCATCCAGCCTCCTGTTCCCTCTTACAGTCTTCAGCGGAGTTCACTCCTTTCCCAGGCCCTCGAGGAGACAGGAAACAAATGTTGGAAGTACTATGTAATGATTAAAATGGTCCCACCCCTCTGCCCAGCACGGTGTCACCCCTCCTTTGAGGGTGACTGCAGTGCTCTCTAGGAAACATCAAATATGTCTGTAATCCCAGACAGGAAGGCCGCGGCAGGAGGAGGAAGGAGAAATCTGAACACAGCCTGCACAATTTAGCAACTCAGTGAGATCCTGTCTCAAAATAAAAAATTTTCAAAGGTCAGAGGATGTAGTCTTGGCCTTGACTCCCAGTACTCAAAACAAAACAAAACCAAACCAACAAAAAACAAAGATCAAATATCAAAATATTTCCCAAACTGCATCTTTCTGCTTTTCTGTTTCGGCACTTTAGCTTTACAGACACTGTGAATAATCACTTAGAAAAGTAATCATCATAAGCTGGCATTGCAGATCTAGAAGTCATTTCCTAGTCAATAGCAGGTGCAGACTGGGTTCGGGACCCCCAGACCCGGAACCCTCAAAGCTGGGAACTGTGTAGGGCTGCAGCTGCATGGGGAACAGGATCTGGGAGGGACTTCCTGTTGTCCCTAATCCCAGTCTCCACCCGGCTCCCCCGCCTTCTCGTAGCTGGCTGCAGAGACTGCCCTCCCTGGGGAGGAGCCCTGCCACCCCAGGTGCCCACTCCACCTCCACTTTGGTGAGATGGGGGTGCCGGGGAGGGTGCCGGATCCTGAGGATGGCACAGGTGGCCAGCTTGCAGAAGGGGACAGGGTCAAAGGTGGAAGGCTTTGGGCTGGCAGAAGGAAAGGGGCCTGGACCTGGGTTTGGGAAGGAGAAGGACATTGTCTGCAGGGACCATGAGTGCAATGGACATGCCGAGGGGGCAGCTGCAGCTGCAGAGCAAAGTGCTGAGAAGGAGGCGGGTTGGTTCCTGCATGTGGATCCTAGGTGGGCCGGGACCCAAGGTTTATGTCCCGGGGCCTGTGGCTCTGATTCCCCAGTCTGTGAAGGGCCGGCTCCACTGCCCTTTTTGTAGGATCTCTGCAGAACTTTCTGCTTCTGGTGATGAGAAATACTGGTTTTGCGTTAGCCCCAGCTTTCCCTGAGCTGATGGTCTTGAGATGTGAGGCGCTTCAGTGATAAAGGAACAATATACAACAGCTTTCTTTTTGAAAGGAAGAAACAAAACCTTCACTGAAGGTGGGACCGTAGGATTAGGTGAGGTAGAATTCATGTTCAGGGGGCTCTGGTTTGGTGTGCAGATTTTCAGGGTGCATCAGAGATGTCGAGGAATTACTTGCTTGATTTCTTTATGCTCTCCTAGGCTTCTGGCCAGAAGCCAGAGGTGGGCTGGCTCGCAGTAGAGAGAAACAACTTGCTGTTCTTCCTAGCTCTGAAAAAGAAAATGGCTACGGATGGTGGAGGCATCCCTGTTGCTGAGAACAAGGGGAGAGCTCAGGAGGTATGATGGGGTTTCAGACGAAGGAGGCATGCATTGAAGGGAACAGAGCAAAATATGTTGGACCAAAAAGTTAGACTCCCTGGTTGGGAAGGATTGGGAGATTGGGGCACTGGATGTGGAGTGTTGGAGAGAAGGAGGCATGATGGGAAATACCCTCCATCTGGCATTTCTGTCGCAACTTTTGCTTTGCCTGCTGGATTCTATAGTCAGTGGGCATGTGAGATAGTGAGGAGTGTAGTAGGTGCCTTCTGGTAAGGTTTACTCTACAGAGTACCCAGCGAGCCTCATTCTGCTCCCTGTTCTCTGTCCCTGGGCACATCGTCTCAGTTCCCTGTTCTTCCTATGCCTGGTGTGTATGTGCATATGAGTGTGTGCATTGTGTTTTTGTGTGCATGTGTAATTACCACCTTCCAGGGACTAGAGTCTCCAGGATAGAGTCAGAGTCCCCTGGCCTGCAGTCATCAGGTATGCCTCCTGTAAAATGTGGATCATGTGCCTGCCCGTCTCACCTATCTTACCAGCCCCTGGGGAGGCAGGAAGGACGCAATGGGGATGAAGCCTCCTGCAAGGAACTCGTGAGCCCATAACTGATTATTATGCTGCACACAGCCAGGGCACCCTGACTGCTCCAGCCTGTTCTGTACCCCCACCTGGTGTGCTTACGCATACGCATCTGGCATCAGCGCTGTTGACTTCATGCCTCTGAAGTTCAAACAGTTTTTACCCTTGCTCAGTGTACCTTCCACTGTGGCTTGTTACATGGCCCTTGAGCACCTGACAAGCTTGTACGTCCACATTCTCTGAGGATGTCAGATTCTGTCAAACATGCACCAGTAGAGTAATGATGATGATGATGATGATGATGATGATAATAATAATAACCCGTGGTGCTTCATGTTTATCCAGAATCATCTCTCACTCACCTGTGTGCCCCTCAGAACTGCTCTGGGCAGGCAGGTGAACAGCTGAGTCTCAAAGGCCATGGCCAGGGCTGGAGAGATGGCTCAGTGGTCTAGAGCACCTACTTGGAACAAGCTTGGCAAGGCATCGGGGACCGCGGTTCAATCCCCCAGCCCCACATGCCAGCCAGCCCTGCCCCCTGGTGGGCTGAGCTGGCCACACACACACACCACTCTCTCTCTCTCTCTCTCTCTCTCTCTCTCTCTCTCTCTCTCTCAAATAAATAAAAATTAAAAAAAAAAAAAAAAAAAAAAAAAAAAAAAAAAAAAAAAAAAAAAAAAAAAAAAAAAGGCCATGGCCAGTCAGGAGTGTTGATGGGCCTGGCATGCTGGCACCCAGGCACTTTGACATGGGGCCGTGGATCTTCAAGACCGGAACACAGAGGAGGTGTGGGGCGAGCTGGGTGCAAGCTGGTCCATCTGCCATTGTGGTGGTGAGAATTCGCCTGTGCCCTTCCAGTATGTGAGAGATGGCTTGTCCAAAGCTTTCAAGCTCCGTGGCTGCAGGCCCTTGTCTGATCTCTGGGACATGGTGCGCTTGTTTCTTGTAGTTGCAACAGATACCACTGACTGGGTGGCTTCAGACAACCATGATCTATTCTCTCACAGTCCTGGAGACCAAAGTCAACTGGGCCATTCTCCCTCCAAAGGCTCATGGAGGGCCCTTCCCTCCACTTCCAGTTTCTGGTGGCTCTTGGTTCTCCTTGACTTCCTCGATGATGGGGGCTGTCATTCCTAGATTTCAGGTCAGGGACATCACTCTCAAGACATGCTCTCCAGGCTGGAGGAGACAGTGCCTTTGGGATCTGCTCAGGTGTCACAGAACATCAAGATGGAGCCAGATGAGCCAGACCTTGAAGGGGCTTCCCAGGAGGACAGGCCTCCAGTTGGATGTTGCTGTGTGCCCCTAAGGCCTGGCTCTAAAGAGAAATCACTCTTCCTGCCTGGTGGAGGTAGGAGAGGGAGATGGGAAAATGAGATCCTTTCTTTGGGAGGCTTCTGTGGGAGGTAGAAACTTGGCCAAGGAAGGGTTGATGAGCTTTAACCTAGGAGGGAAATTTCCCCCGCCAATCCCCCTGACTCTGAGCCCACTCCCAGCACCCTCTTCTTGGATTGGGTTGGGGGTGGTGTAAGAGGCAGCTGGGAAACAGCAGCACACAACAAGAAGAGCTGACCACCCTAAGGACCCCTTTCCTTTTACAGCCCTTTCCTCAGCCCAGATCCCTGTGCTTTCCCTAGAGGGAAGGACTAGAGACCAGCAGATGGCTGCTGCACTCCTCACAGCCTGGTCCCAGGTAAGTGTTTCATTCAGGCCTCTTTGTCCCCTCTCCAACCTGTCTCTGGGTGGAAGCAGGGCCCTTCCCTAGCCCTGCATCTGCTGCTTCTGGCTGGAGAGGCTGAAAAGTAATGGTCATAAAGCCCTGCCCTTCCCACTTGCTCAGAACTGTCCCTGAAGTACTGTGGGAGTGACCACTTGAGTGCCCTTGCCCAGGCATGTGGCCCACAGATAGGCCTGGCTGAGGCTGGAGAAACAGTACAAAAGAGTGGACAGTTGGGTCTGTGATTGTGACTCATCATCCAGGGGCTGAGATGGGGGTGGAAGATGTGAGGAGATCCCGAGCTTCGGCCATGGCCCCTGAACACACAGCTTTGCTCTTGAATCTCCTCTCACAAAGGCCATCCTTGGGTGGCTGCCCACCTGACCATTAGGTCTGGGAGGGAGGCCTCCCTGGGAACAAGTTGGGAGCGCAGGGCCTCAGCATACATCTTTATTTTTTATTTTTATTTTTGGGTCTTTTTTGAGACAAGGCCTCACTATGCAGTTCAGGCTGGCCTTGAGCTCACTTTGTAGCCCAGGCTGGTCTCAAAATTACAACAATCCTCCTATCTCAACCTCCCAAGTGCTGGGATTACAGGCCTGTGCCACCATGCCCAGTGCCCAGTTTAGCATATATCTTTTTTTTTTTTTTTCCTTTGGCAGAATGGGGGATTGAACTCAGGCCCTTGCGCTTGCCAGGCAAGTGCTTATTCTACTGAGCCATCTCCCCGGCTCCTAGTTTAGCATATATCTTGGCATCTTCATTCTACCATGTCCATGTATATCCTGGACATAGGGTGTTTTATGTCGTGTCAGATGCCTGTGACCTTTGAGGATGTAGCTCTGTACCTCTCCCGGGAGGAGTGGGGACGGCTGGACCATACACAACAAAACTTCTACAGGGATGTGCTGCAGAAGAAAAATGGGCTGGCCTTGGGTAAGAGCTCTGAAGTGGTAGGGGCGTCTGACTTCCAGAGGTGTGGGAGTGAGGGTGGGGCTCTGTTCCTTTTTGGGGGGTTGGGGGTTACTGGGAATTGAACCCAGGGCCTTTGCACTGAGCTCCATTTCCAGAAAGAATTTTGAGACAGGGTCTTACTAAGTTGCCTTGTCTAGGTTCAAAGGTTTTTTTTTTTTTTTTTTTTCTGTATTTAGGACAGGGTCTACAGGGTCTACAGGGTCTCACTATGTAGATTGGACTCACAGTGATTCTCCTGTTTTCAGCCTCCCAAGTGCTGGGATTATAGGTGCGCGCCACCATGGCACATTGGGGATCGAACTCCAGCTGCTGCGCTCTGCCTAAGCAGGCACTTTAGTCTGCTGGGTCCAAAGTTTTTAGTCCTCCTGCCTCAGCCTCCCAGAGTGCGGGGATCACACATGCGTGCTGCTGCCTCCAGCTCCCGCTCATTATTCCTTCCACTAGCACTGTTCTGTAGAACCTTCCATAGGGATAGAAATGTTCTCCTTCTGTCCTAGGATGGTAGCCACAAGCCCAGTGCCCATTGGAGCTAGAAATGTTTTGAGTTTTGAGTTTCATTTGACTTTGATCAGCTCTGATCTGAGTGTAAACAGCTATGGTTAGTGGCTTCCCCACTGGACAGCCTGCTCTGGGTTCTGCTTTTCTTCTGTCCTTTCACAGTGCCTATTTGTCCTCATAGTTCTTTCAATAGTCCTAGCTTTAGAAATGTCTCGAGAAAGATTGGCCCTTGGCTCTCTGGACTGCCCCCCTGGTGGGAAGTGGCATCAACCTAACCCTGAGGGCCAACATCTGCAGAGGTGTCACATTTTCCCTGGAAACCTGGGCAGCCCATGCTTCTCAGTGGAGGTTGGCTGCCTTGGGTTATCTGATGGCAGCTGTTTAAGATCCAGGCTTTTGTCTCTTTTTTTGGTACTGGGAATCGAACTCATGACTTTGTACTTGCCAAGCAGGTGCAGTGTCACTGAGCTATGTCCCCAGCCCAGGTTCCAGGCTTTTGATTCCTCCATTTCAGACCAGTTTTCCTGTCAGGATCTGATGAGGTCTTCATGTGTCATTGTAATCCAGTCAGTCAGTCAACACCCACATGCTGCACATAGTCGCACCCTTGGCTTCCATGGTGGTCCTCAGGCCCCTGTTGCTCTCCCCAGCCACCAAGCTCAGCCTCTAATGATTTCCATTTGGCTCCCCACCTCATTATTCTCACGTCCAGGGGCCCAGACCCACAAGCTTAGGCAAGTCTCAGGGCATCAGAGAAAGCGGAGTACCCAGCCACAAGATCTACAGATGCCCCAAGGAACTTGGTGGGTCCCATGAATTCCTTTCCTCCAACGGGTCATAGAAGCCATGGCCTCTCTGTTCTCTTCCTGACTTGACCAAAATCCCCAGGGCCTAGGCTCAGCCAGATAGCTCAGTGGACTAAAGGGCCTGCTTTGGCAGAGTGCAGTGGCCAGGGTTTGATCCCCGGCCTGCCATGCCAGCCCCACCCCTGGGGTGCACTAAAATGGTATTTGAGACTGGGTGTGGTGGCACATGCCTGTAATCCCAGCACTTGGGAGGCTGAAAACAGGAGAATCACTACAAGTCTGATCTGTGTAGTGAGACCCTTTAGACCCTGTAAACCCTGCCCTAAATACAGGAAGAAAAAAAAAAAAAAATCCCCAAGGTCTTTCCCTCAGGTACTCAGCATCTGGGTCCTTTGTCCTGACTTTTTGGTTGTCAATGTTCTTGGCCTCTTGTCCTGGGCCTGCCACTTGTCCCCCCACCCCATGTCAGTGCAGCTATAGGTGGGACAGTTCTTCCCACCTGTTCATGTGCTCACAAAGGGAAGAGGGAAGGGAATTGCCCCCCTGACCTGGTTCAGCTCTGGTCCTCAGCAGGTCCCTAGGATCTGCTGCTGTGCTGGGAAACAGGAGGCAGGGCCAGCTCAGCCCTGGGAAGAATAGAGTTCGCTGTATTCTGAAAGGGCACACACTGTCATCCAATGGATTTTTTTTTTTTAATGTTGAGGATAAAAACCAGACCCTCCTGCATGCTAAGCCCAAGTGCTCTACCACTGAACTATACTTCCAGTCCTTTTCTGAGCATTTCAAGACAAGGTCTCAATAAATTGACCAGTCTGGCCTTTGACTTGTGATCCTCATGCCTCAGCCTCCTGAGTGCTGGGATCACCAGTGGGCACCACTGTGGCAGGGCATTTTTTGAGTGTTTTTACCCATGTTTGCTGTAGCCCCACTGCTCCCTTTTACCCCATCCCTGGTGGAGATAGCCTGAGAAGTTCTATGAGGAACACAGCCTCTTTTTTTGGCAGGGTTTCCCTTCAGAAGGCCTTTCTGGGCTCCACAAGTGTCCAGGAAGGTTGAGGCTTCGAGCTCCGGCAGGCAGACAGGAACTGAGGAGGAGGATAGTGACCCTGGCTCAGGTGAGGGCCTTGGGATGTGCCTTGGTCTGAGGAATGGGTGTGGGCACTGCCGATCCCCGGGGCTCCCTGTGGTTGCAGGACGGCCAGATCCCCCTCTAGAGTGTTGTTCTTCCCTCTGGGTCATTTGGACCTTTTCTGCTGCCAGCCCCCAGCCTCTGGGCCTTAGCTCTTTCTCCCCACCAAGGAGTCCTTCCAGAAAGAAGCTTGTCTCCTTGGAATCCCTTTTTTCTTTTCTAGGAGCTGTGGAGGTGGGGAAGGAGGCTCCAGCCAAGTGTGTGGCAGCCCTTGGGGATGTGAAGCCCTTGTCCAGGACAAGGTGGGTCGCAGGCCAGGTCCTCCAGTGCAGGCAGCAAGTCACCGGTGACCAGAATGCATGGTCCACCAGAGATGCGGGGCAGCCAGCTCCTGGGGAAGCAAGTCGGCCAGAGCTCACCCTACCCAACACCAGCACCTGCAAGGCCCTAGAGGGCTGCACCCCAGAGAACCCCAGTGAAGAGGGGAAGGGCACCCCTGAGAGTACCGAGGAGGGCTTGTCTCCTGATGGTGGGGTGGGCAAGAAGAGCTATAAATGTGAGCAATGTGGCAAAGGTTTCAGCTGGCAGTCACATCTGGTCACACACCGGCGAACACACACCGGTGAGAAGCCCTACGCCTGCACGGACTGCGGCAAGCGCTTCAGCCGCAGCTCGCACCTCATCCAGCACCAGATCATACACACAGGCGAGAAGCCCTACACCTGCCCTTCTTGCTGGAAGAGCTTCAGCCACCACTCCACACTGATCCAACACCAGCGCATCCACACTGGTGAGAAGCCGTATGTGTGCGACCGCTGTGCCAAGCGCTTCACCCGCCGCTCGGACCTGGTCACACACCAAGGCACACACACAGGTGCCAAGCCACACAAGTGTCCCATCTGCGGCAAGTGCTTCTCTCAAAGCTCAGCTCTGGTCACGCACCAGCGCACGCACACGGGCCTGAAGCCCTACCCGTGCCCCGAGTGCGGCAAATGTTTCAGCCAGCGCTCCAACCTCATAGCGCACAACCGCACGCACACGGGGGAGAAGCCCTACCACTGCCTCGACTGCGGCAAGAGCTTTGGCCACAGCTCTCACCTGACCGCCCACCAGCGCACGCACCGTGGCGTGCGGCCCTATGCTTGTCCACTATGCGGCAAGAGCTTCAGCCGCCGCTCCAATCTGCACCGCCATGAGAAGATCCACAGCAGCGGGCCCAAGGCTTTGGCTGTGCTCATGTTGGGGGCAGCAGCCGCGGGGACACTGGCCGTGCCCCCACCGGCCCCTACCTAGACAGGCAGAGAGCGGGGTGGCAGGGCACCCATGGTAGCTGGGACAGGCCCACTGAAATGTGGGCCTCAGCATGGGGAATGAAGGGGCTAGGGCTGAGCACTGGGTAGGTGCAGGCGTGGGGTGGGGTGTGGCATCGTGGGAGGTGAGAAGGCATCAGGAGCAAGTTAGCCAAAAATTAAAAGCCTTAGAATGCAAACTCTGGCCTAATCCTCTGTTTTATAGGTGCTGGTGCCCATCCTGAGCGGAGTGGGATTGGCGTGGGCCAGCTATGTGTCTGCACCCCCGAGTCACCACTCTAGACTGGAGCATCCCCACCCCCAGCCTTCTTTTTTTGTTTGTTTGGATTTGGTTTTGTGGTGCTGAGTATTGAACCCACCACTAAAATGTATCCCCAGCCCTTTTAATTTTGAGCCAGGGTCTCACTGAGTTGCCCAGGCTGGGCTCAAGCTTGTGATCCTCCTGCCTCAGCCCCTCAGAGTGCTGTTATTACAGGCAGGTGCCACCTATGTCTACCTCCTAGCTCCTAGCCTTGATGTCAGGTTCCATTTGTGATAGGCTCCTTCCAGAACATTGGGACCATAAATCTATAAACTAAGACTTCTGAGTACAGAAAAGTGTGGTTCTCCCGGTGGGGCTGGTGGTTGCTGCTGTTATGCTCCACGGCACTTGGCTACTCACTGGCCCTGGGTTTTCCTTCGGCTACTTTCTTTGGGAGCTGGGAGCAGGGTAGAGCCAGCTTGGAAGCTGCTATTTAGTGTTTCCTGCCTTAGGCACAGGCCTGGGTTTTGTGGCTGGCTTTTTTCCATCTGTTTCCATCAGGAGCTGCCTGCCTCATAGTTAAGGCTCTTCTCTGACTAGGGACCATTCTCCCCTGGGCTCTTCTGCAGCTACTTCCACTGCTGCCACGTCTCTCTTCTTTGGCCTACGGTGTATTCCCTTTACAATTTGCCCTACCTATCCCTGCCTGGCTTTTAGTTCTGATCTTCCCCTGGTTTTTAACCTCTGTGGCTTCTATTTCCCATTCTCTACTTTTCTTTTCCCCAGCAAGGAGTAGGTTCAGTCTGTTAATCCCATATTGTGGCCTCGCTACTAAGTTAACATTTTAGCACGGATACCAACTGACCACAAGAACATCTACACTGGGGAGGCCACAGAGACCCCACCTGTGTCATGGGTCATGGCGCCAGCAGGGTGGCTGCAGCCCTGGTTGGATTTCAGCTTCTAAGGGACTGGGATGTAGTGACTTAAAATAGTATGTGAGACTGAGAAGTGTCACAACTGCCAGTTGTTAAACAGCTGTTCTGCCAGCATGGGGCCATGCCTGTAAATGTATCACTTCTACTAGCTATGACTGAATTTTATTATCTCAGTGTTATAGATGAGGACATAGAGGCTAAGAGAGAAATGCAATCATGTATCCAAATTCATAAAAGTGGATAACTGGAAGTTGGTGTCAGATCTTAAGTCTGTTGATCCTGTAAGACTTTTATGCCTTGTATCCTTGTTTACTGAGAAGTACATATTATGAGGCAGGGGAGTCTAACAGGACTAGAGTCTTTTAGTCCCTGAAGGTCAGGGACATGAAACTCAGGCCATGGAAAAGGCCCAGGGTATGAAGTCAGCTGGACACAGGCAAACTGCTGACTGATGTGTCCAGTCAGGGGTTTGTGGTGTCTGAAAGTTGACGGTAGGGTCTAGGATTGCTGGCAGAACCTGCTTAAATTAGATGGTTATTTCTGAGGCCAGAAAGAGGAGATTTCTCCCTTGACCTTGTCCTCTTGGCATAAGTCATTCAGCCAGTAGTGAAATTTCTCTGCTTGGTTGAGTATAATGGGCCAAGGTGGCTCTCAGGGAGCTTGCTTTCTAATGGAGAGACAGGCAGGAAGGAAACTTGCTAAAATGACACTGGAGCTATAATCATTTGTCATGAGGGCACAGAGGAGTCACCTGGACAGTGATTATTGCTTGCTTTGATATCAGTTCCACAGATCATGTGGGCAGCACGCTAGGGCCAAGTGTTATGATGTGAGCCAGTCAGAGGGCTGTCCAGTCATCCAGGGAGTCACTCAGACTTCACTGTGGCCTCTGGGAACTTCAGAGATCACGGTATCCCGGAGAAATGTTTCTCCTTTTGGGGCAGAGTGCTGAGAAATATGGTTCAGAAGACCCCCTGGGTAGTGGGCTCTGTCTGCTTTTGCCTGGACATCCAGGGGCCACTATTTTAGAACAAGATGTGGCAAGAGCCTGTTAAGAGTGGACTGTGGCATTCTGGAAAATATTTGACAAGTGCAAGTAAGCCTGTTGCCTGAGATTGTAGGGGGTAAGACGTGAGAGGTCCTTTAAAGTCAGGCTGAAGGATGCTTACAATATGGTGGGTGGTGGGGTGTCATCAAGGGGAGGCTAGACAGGAAAAATCCAGGGGAGTGTCCTGGTGGCAAGATAGAGGGAGAGGTGGCGACTTGGCCTATATGCATTCGCATATCTTAGCCTCTCTGTTGCAGCGAAGCTCTACCTGTCTAGTTGAGGATGAGGGCAAAGGGAACATGGCACGTTGGCTTTCCATCCCTTTTCCGTGGCCAGCGCTCAGAACCCAGGAGCTCTAGCTAGATCCCGCTGCTCCTCTGGGTTCATGGGGCGCGGCTAAGATCTCCCCCGCCCCAACATCAAAGGAGCCAATCACCCGCAAGGATTAGAACCCGAGGCCCCGCCCTCAGGCTTCCCTCGGCTAATCAAATGTCGGGATTCCCGCAAAGTCGGCCAATCCTGGCTAATGTTGGCGCTCACGTCCTGCGTTCTCCTTCCACGCCCTGAGCCTCGCGGTTGCCTAGGTTTCGGCTTTAAGCTGTTCTGGGTTCCGGCTACCGGCGGTAGTTAGTGAAGGAACCGGAGAGCAGGCCACGTTCCTCCGCGGCGGCGTTCCTTGAACGCTCCCACCCGGCTTAGCGCTGCTGGCAGCTTCCAGGGTCAAACACTGGGAACGCAAGCTCCTGCCGGCCTGTGGGGCCAGGCCGCTTCCGGCTTCGTGCAGTCACTTCCGGCGCCGCAGGAATCCTATGGGTCCTCTCTGGAGCTCTGGGGAGCGGATGTGGGAGCCCCCTCCGTGGCGGAGCGGCCGGAAAGGAGATTGGGCCTTTCCTGGGGTGCCGGAGGACTGTAAGGAGGAGCTTCGGCTCTGAGTGATGCGTGAGGGGCGGAAGGCGGGGAAATGTTAACGGGTTCTGCTGCCTTTGCCCGTTTTTTTTTTTTTTTTTTTCCTACTGATTGATTAATCTATTGATCCTGGAGATAGAACGCAGGGGCGCTCTACCACTGAACTACACCCTCACATCCTCTTAACTTTTGCCACACAAGGACCAGGGAGATGGTCCAGTGGCTTAAGCGCCTGCCTGGCAAATGTAAGGTCCTAAATTCAATGCCCAGTACCTTAAAAAATAAATAAATAAATAAACTGGTGGGCACGCCTGTAAATTCAGCAGTCTGCAATCCGGAGGCTGAGGCAGGGGGACCATTGCAAGTTCGAGTCCAGCTTGGGCTACAAAGTGAGCTCAATACCAGCCTGAACTGTAGAGTGAGACCCCGTCTCAAACACACACACACAATTACTGCATGTCCTTGCTAGCTAAGTTATCCAGGTGGGATTTGAACCTGTCGACCCCTCCTCCCCTCGCTTCTGCATTACAAGCATGTACCATCACACCCAGCTTCATTTTTCAAATACAAAATGAATGGCTGCATTTAGATGTTTTGCTAAATGTAGAGAAATAGGCAATGAAAAATAAGTCATGATCCATGCTTGTCCTTGCTTGGTTCCAGTCCTAGAGGCAGCAACTGACAGATAAATGACACATATATTAGAAGTATTAGCAGGTGTCAGAAAGCTAGGTGAAGCAACAAAGTATGCTAGGAACCTCCATCTCTGAGAAGGGGACATTCAAGCTGAGACTTGACAGAAGAAGCTGTTTCGGAGGATTTTGGAGGAAGAAACCTTGAAGGAAACAGAAGCTCCTGACCAGAGGAAGAGATTGGTACTCAGGGGCTGAAATGATAGCGCTTGTGATCCAGGCTGGAGTGCAAAGAAGGAAGTGTTCATGAATAAGTAGAAGAGAGCCAGGATGAGGTGGCACAGGCCTGTAATCCCAGTAGTTGGGAGGCCAAGGCAAGATTGAAGTGAGTTCTGAGGCCATCCTGAACTACACAGTGGGACCTGATCTCTAAATTAAAATAATAATAATAATAATAATAAGCAGGAAACTTGATTGTAGGAGTGTGGCCTGCAGTTACATTACTCTGTGGTATTCTGTGGAGGGTAGAGAACCGGGACATTATGAAGTCCAAACTTCCTCATACTCATGTGCTCCAGCAGGCCTTCTGCCATATTGAGTAGCAGCACTTAACCAACCTGCTTCACTGACATGAACACAAACCCACAGGAAGATGGGCATGGTGGTGCAGGCCTATAATCCCAGTACTTTGGATGCCAAGGTAGGAGGATCCTTAGGAGTTCTGGACTACATATTGAGGCCCTGTCTCAGAATGTTAAGAAACAAACAAGGGCTGGGGAAATAGTGGCATAAGTGCCTGCCTGGCAAGTGCAAGGTCCTAAGTTCGATCTTTGGTACTGAAAAAAAGAAAATTTCATAAGAAGAACAAATAGCTTTTCAGGGATTTTTGGTGATGCTAGACAGTAGGGCCTTTCTTGAAGACTTAGTGAAGGCAGTGTTTCTAGTAAAATGGAGTTGGGGTTGGGCGAGTTCACAAACCCACTTAATGTTTCTATCTCCCTAAGCCTTTGGGTTCTCTCTCCCATCATACCACTGCAGCTGTGGCACCTCAACCTCTAACTGAGGGCCTCCTTTGAGTCCAGCTTTCAACCAACAAAGAGAAACTGAAAGCTACCTACAACCACACAAGCTAATACATTAAATTTGAAACCTAATAAGTGCTTTTTCAATACTATTACATGGCTACAAGAAATAACTTCTGGGCTGTCAGAGAAGTTCTCTAGTTCTCAAGATAGTGACTTGAACTGAATTAGAATCTAAGCTTTTCTCTAAGTGCATTTGTTGTTACAGAGTCTGTCTACTCAACTTGGACTTGTGATTCTCCTGCTTTCAGTGTCCCCAGCGCTGGGACTACAGGTGTGTGTGAGCCACCTAGCTGCCCTGACTGTCTGGTTTAGCCTGCCCTGGGGGCGGGGATTGAACCACAGTCCCTAAGCTTGCCTAAGCAGGGGCCTTGGTGCACTGAGCTATCTTGCCGGCTCTAAGCTTGTCATTTTCTCACTGTGAAGGTTTAAGTACATAAAAACTAAGGTATTCCATGCCACATTCATATATTACTAACACCATAGTGGTCAAGTGCAGTAGCCATTTGTTTCAATATAAATGCTTTAATAAATATAAATGCTGGGGCTGGTGAGATGGCTCAGTGGTCTAAAGCACCTACTTAGAACAAGCTTAGCAAAGCAGAGGGACCGCGGTTCAATCCCCCAGCACCACATGCCAGCCAACCCTGCCCCCTGGTGGGCTGAGCTGGCCACACACACACACACACACACACACACACATTAATAAAAAAAATATATATATAAATGCTTTCAGTGTAAGTACTTCATACCAACTTCAGACAACACCTTGATTGTGATACTACTGTATCCCGTGGATAATTAGCATCCCATATATAGAGCAGTGAGAGAGAGGGTCTAGTTCGGGCATGTGACCTGTTGGGTCACAGCAGATAGCTGACTACACACAGCAGAGTATGTCTGTGAAGGTGTTTCTGGAGGAGATTAGCATTTGAGTTGATGGGTGAGTAAAGCAGATAGTGCTCCCCAATGAAGGTAGGCACCACCCAATTCACCGAGAGTTTAGTGAACAAAAAGGTAGAGGAAGGTTGCATTTATCGTGCCTTGAGTATCTGAGCTGGGACATGATCTCCTGCCTGTGGCACCCCATTCTGACCAGAACTACCCAGAATAGCAGCTCCCGAATTTCTGACTCGGGTATGAAAGATCAGGCAATGGAGGGCACACTTGTGATCCCAGCACCAAGGGGGCAGAGGCAGGAGAGACTAAGTTAGAGCCCCACGTGAGCTACAGAGCAAGGGTGCCTCCAAAGAAGTTGAACAGTCAATGTGAGGTGACAACGTTTTAGTGTTGTTTTAAGCTATGTTTTGGAGTAGGGTTTTACATAGCAATAGATCATACCCATAGTCATCTGTCTTTTGTGTTTTTGGGAGTTTGAATCACAGGTGCAAGGCTGGGCTAGGGATTAGTAGAGTGCTTGTCTGGCTCATGGGAAGCCTCAGTGCCCAGCACAAGTCTTCTAAAGATTACACACACACACACACACAAAAAAGATTACACAGTGCATCAGATATAACATGATACCCCATAACCACATACAATTTTTAT